GTGATTCTAATATGCAGCTAAAACTAAGAACCACTGAGCTAGAACTTCAGGGAAGACTGAAAATTACACAAAGAATGTGATAAAATCCTATATCAGGAACAAGTCTACACTTTGAGTCAAAAAACCTAAATTGCCTACTATAAGCAAGGCACTATTACAGATATGAATAAGGCACAGTAACTGCGCCAAACGAACTCATGGTCCAATGGAAAAATCAGTGTAAAATTATTACACAATTTTACAATTGTTATTGTAAATTTATCGTAATAAAAAATATTGTTATTGGACAATGCAATAGGTTCTATAATTATGTCACATTTCACATACTATGGGAGTACGACGGAGGAAGCAGTTAACTGACTGGGAAAGGTAGAAAAGGCTTCCTGTAACTGATATACTCGAAGAATGAGTAGTTACTTTCTCAAGAAAGAAAAGTGCAATCTAAGCAGAGAAAATAGCACATGTAGTGATACAGACTAGTAAAAGGGCAAAAAAATTAGTAGCGAGATGAATGGCTGATGGATAAGGTTTAGGACTAATAGGACCTCGGGGCCAGACTTTGTGCTGTAGTAAGGGGTTTGGACCTTCCTAGAAGATTAGAACTTCATTAAAGTTATGACATCCAAGACATGCATTTTCTTGCTCTTCCATTCTGTGGTGGTTTTTATTATTCAGTTAGCCTCATACTGAGAGTGGAAACTTTGGGGTCCTAAATGAGTTTGCTTCTAGAATTTCCCACCCATTGGCAGACCTAGGCTTTATTTTTTCCATCCCAGGTAGCTGTCAAAGTGGAAGTTTATGTCTTCCAGGATTTAGCAATGTAAAAGGCAGGTTTGCAGCTTCCTTTCAGGATTCTAGTTGTCTACTTATTTTTAAAAAGCTTGGCAAATTCCTCACTTTCATGCCTGATCACTAGTGTGTTAATAAAAATGTTTATAATTTTTCAGCATTTTTAGTTTTTCCATTTAGGGTTGTTCATGCTGTCTAATCTGCCATGTTACCTGGAAGACTAAGAAGATTTTAGCTGATTTTCTCAAAAGAGTTGAAAGAGCACATGGAAGCTAAGCAGCCACAAACTGACAGACATCCGTCTTGTTTACAATAAAACAGATGTCTCTTGGGCTCACCAGCTTGTGGGCTCTGCCAAACTGCAGGAATTTTATAGCTATATGCTGCTGTGTAACAAACCACTCCAAATTTAGTGGCTTAAAACAATTTTATTGGGCCAATGAATTCTGTGGGACAGGAACTTGGGCAGGGCATGGTGGGGATAACTTGTTTCTGCTTCACAATTTCTGGAACCTCAGGAGGATGCTGTCTGGCATTTGGACTGGGCTGGGCTCAGCCAGGACTGTTGGCCAGAGTCTCCATATGTAGCTTGTCTGTGCTTGGACTTCCTTGCAACATGGTGGCCTCAAGGCAGTCAGGCTTCTTATAGGGCAGCTCCCAGCTCCAAGAGTGTCCCAGTGAACAAGACAGAAGCTGCATGGCTTTTTATGACGTAGTCTCAAAAATCAATAGTGTCACTTCTGCTGTACTCTATTGGTTAAAGTGGTCACAAGCTTGCCCAGGTCCAAGGGGAGGGAACATAGAGCCCACCTCTCAAATGGAACTATGTCAGAGAATTGTGGCCATTACAAAACAAACAAAATGACTGTCACATAGAATTTCAGCCTTCCCCTTTTATGAGTGTTTCTCTACAAGACAGGTGGGTTGGGTGTGGGGGTGAGGTGGAGTGTAGAAGAGAAGGATCACTTGTAATCAGAGGTTCTGCTGGTAACTTTGCAGTGTCTGTATTCCAACTGATATTTTTGCTGTGCCTCACTGTTGTTCTGCTTGCCTGTGTTGTTGCCTCCTGAACTGCTCCCTCAACTGCTGCAGGTTGCTTCTTCCAGCAATTTCTGCTCCTTCCTGGTCACTTCTTGGGTAGCCTTGACCCTGGCTCTCAGAAGATCTTTTCTCTTTGCTGCTGCTACCTGGTACTCTTCATCCGTATCTCCAATCTCTCTCCCTCACCACCACCTCTCTCTCTGAAGAAAGCATTCTATGTTTTATAGCAGGTGGCCTTTTTTGAGGAGATACCTTACCAGAATGGCATGCATCCTTGGTAATAAGTATTTTCACTTTTACTACTCAGTCTATGAGGGAGGGGATGGTTGGTCCCCTAGCGAAGGGGTTTGGGTCTTAGTGGTAAAATTCTTTATACTGCCAGTTCTCATTGCTGGAGTGCATGTATATCATCAGGAAACTGGGTGAGTGGGTGGGGTGGAAGAGAAATATTTGGGCACAGTTTCACACTGGACCTGAAAAATACTGCTTCTTCTGATACCTAGGTCTAATTCCAGGCCATATTGGCTCTTTACTTCTGTGTTTTTGTTTGTTTAATATTTTTTTGCAAAATGGCTGCCACTGGGCATCTTTAGTCCACCAGACATGACTGTATATGCCTGAGCCTGATTGTGAGCAGGTTCCTGTTTTTACCATGCGGCCCCTTACCCAAGTAAGCCAGAGGGTGTTGATGGTGGGTGCTCTAACATCCCATGTTAAGGAGGCTCTGTCTGCCAGAGCACACAGAGGATCTCTAGGAGTCTCTACACTTTAGTTCTCTCTTACAAAAGCAACAGCCAATCATTTACATTTTTTGTTTCTTATTATTAGTTCTTAAAGTTCCTTTAGTTCTTTATACTAGAGTAAGCCATCTTCTTTAGGTTAATTTGATTTAGAGAGAGGCTCTTGCTATCTGCTCTTCCTCTGGATGAACTAGTTTATCAATACTATTCTTAAAGTCTGCTGTCTCCCATTATCCTTTCTCTCCATCTTCCACGACAATAGAATTTTTAGCTGGGAACAAGAATAAACACTACATTTACTTGCAGCTAGAAGTGGCTCTGTGTTCTGAAAAATGGGATGTAAGTGGATGTGTTGTATAGCACCTTCTAATAACTTTCCTTAAAAGACAGCTGGACTCAGAATAAAAAGGAATTAACTATGAATGCACACGACAACATGAGTAGATCCCAAGGCCTTTATGGTGAGTGAAAGAAAGCAGTCAGAAAAGATTACATACTGTACGATTCCATTTATATGATGTTCTGGAAAAGGCAAAACTATAGGGACAGATAACAGAGCAGTGGTCACAAGGGGCTAGGGTGGGAGAAGTGTATGACTACAAAGGAATAGCAAAAGGATTGTTGGGGGTGATGGGGAACCTATAGGCTGGTAGGGACTGGAGCTCCCCTAACAGTACTTTGAAATCAGATGCTGGAGCATTGAGCAGGAGAGGAAACATTCCCGTTAAGCTGTTGATTAAATTCTGGATGACAAATGTGCATTTTAACAAGGGCCTCTGGGTCAAATGACCGAAATTTGGCCCCAAAGGACCGAATTTAAGAGTGAGGAATTTCAGACACTGCAGCAGGCCCATAGGTATTGTCCCTCAAGTTCACCTGAAGCAGTTTCATCTCTACCTAATTATGCTGAGCCATCAACGAGATGAAACTCTTTTCTCATTTGTCAGTCCTCTCACCTTTTGGCTCCAGAGCACAGAGGATGGGAACAGAAACTCCTGTGCCCACCATGGTTGTCAGGCAACCCCTAACCCCCAAGAGGATTTGCTTGCTAGGCACTTGCTAACTTGCTGTACCATCCCGGCCATTTGTGCCACCAGAAGTGCTGGCAGAAAAATGAAACAAAGACTGAAAAAGCAAGAAAGGAGGGTGGCCTTTTTGCCTTGATTTTGGGAGTTATTTGTTCCTGAACCCTTAAATAGGGCTGATCTCAGTCCCCACAAGTCTCCCTTCTTTGGCTGAGGACTGCCTCCAGAAAACCACCCTTTTAATATTCAGACTGTGTCTTAGGCATTGGGGCTTCTATAACAAAATACCTTAGACTGGGTAATTTAAGAACAGAAATTTGTTGCTCACAGTTCTGGAGCTGGGAAATCCAAGGCCAACGTGCCAGCAGATTAGGGGTCTGGTGTGGGCCCGTTCCTCATAGAAGGCGCCTTCTACGCGTCCTCACGTAGCGGAAGGGCCAAAGAGGCTAACAAGCTCCCTCGGCCTCTTTTAGAAGGGCACTAATCCCATTCAGGAGGACGCTGCCCTTCACGACCTAATCACCTCCCGAAGGCCACACCTCTTGATACCAACACCTTGGGGGTTAGGTTTCAACAAAAATTCTGGAAGGACTCATACATTCAGTCCATCCCAGACAGTTTCCCCATTTCTTTTGGGTCCTAAATAATACACGTTTCAGTAAAAAGAAAAAAAAACTAAACTAAACTAAATGATACTCGTTTCTGGAAAGTGAAGGAGTCCAAAGTCCTCCGTCCTCTCCATCACCCTTCACTGTACTCAAAACTGGGAGCAGTGAGAGAAAAACGGAGGCGTGGGACAGCCTATAGAATAGCAGTGCCTAGCACTGCGCCAACAGTTTCTCTTGGCTACCTTGTAAGAAATAAACACGCCAGGAGAGCCTCCTGGAAATCCTCACCGGGCAAAGCCACGGTAGGGTCGAGGTTTGCGTCTTTTTAACAAATTTCTGGTGGCTTCTGTTGGACAGCCCTAAGCCCGGCTAAGGAGCCCAGCTACCAAAGACGCTAGCGAGAGGGAGATGCTCCCGGTTCCCAGGCAGTGCAGTAGAGCCGGGTGAGGGGCTCGCGAGGCGCCGGCGCCCACGTTCTCTCCCACCCGACAAGACTACAGGTGCCCGCGAGCCCCGCTCACGCCCGCGCCCACGCCCGGCGGCCAGGGCGCATGCGCCGCTCGTCCCGGCCCGCCTACAGGCTGCCGGCGCTCGCTTGGAAGGGCCCAGCGTGGCGGCCGCGTCTGCGCAGGCTCAGGACGGGTCCCGGGAGGCGGGGCAGGCGGGGCAGGCGTGGGGGCGGGGCTTCGTCCTTT